AAGGAACCGACGTTTAGCCTGTTCCAAGCTTTCCACAACAGAACACAGATCTGAACGGGCGAGCAGTGTAGTATCGTCAGCGAACAGAATGCATGAGCCGTTGACAATATTCTGAGGCAGTTCGTTGATGTAAATAAGAAACAGTAATGGACCTAGCACAGAGTCCTGAGGTACACCATTTCTTATCTCCAGCACTCCAGAGTTAATGCCGTCGATACTGACGTACTGCCTCCTATTTGTGAGATAGGATTGGAAAAGGGCTAGCTCATTACCTCTCATACCGTAGAATTCAAGTTTTCGGAGAAGTATCTGCGTATTAACGCAGTCAAACGCTTTTGTTAAATCGCACATGGCAGCCATAGTATCTATGTGGTTGTCAATATTGTCCAATAATTAATCAAGCAAGTGAAGTAATGCTTTTATGGTTGTGGAATTTTTACAAAATCCAAATTGAGAGACAGAAAGTATTGATTTTTTTTCACAATAAGAGGTGAGCTTTTCTTTCAACAGGATCTCAAAAATTTTTGCAATAATAGGGATGATTGCAATTGGCCTATAATTGTCAGGGGAGTCCCTATCTCCTTTTTTGTAGACTGGTATTATTTTCGATATTTTTAAAGCGTCTGGCCAAACACCCTCCTGTATGCATTTACTGGACAGAACAGATAGCGGTTCGGCTAAAATATCGACACAACTCTTCAAGATAGCGTTGTTTAGGCCGTAATGATCCAAAGAATATGAATCTTTTAGGAGTAAGATTGCCTTCCTGACATCTTGAGGAAGTATTGGACTAATGAAAAATGAAAAATCTGGCTTGGTTACATTTTTTAGGTAATTCTCTGCACCATAATTACATACAGGCAATTGATTTAGTATTTTGCTAGCTACAGATGTGAAGAAGATGTTCAACTCTTCAGAATTCAAATTAGTTTTAGTAGATGTTTTGTTTTTATTCTCGGCATTGACAACTTTCCAAATAGATTTATTTCTATTATGTGAGTTTTCAATTATGTTTGCGTAAAAATTCCTTTTTTCCTCCTTAATAGTTTTCATATAAGTGTTCCGACTCAGTTTGAAGTCTTCCCAGATCTTAACGTCTCTAATAGCATTAAATGTTGTTTTAAGCTCAATCATATTATTTCGCATCTGACGCAGCCTGTCGTTATACCAGTTAACTGGAGAAGTTCTTTTTTGAATTTTTTTGAGTGGAAAACAGTCCTCTACAAAAATGTTTATTTGATGAAGAAACGCGTCCACTGCGTCAGTAGCGGAAGAATGTGAAAGGATGCGCAGAGGCGATTTACATACGTGGTTAACAAAAGACAAAATACGATCATTAGATATAATACGCCTTAGCACAGATGGTGCCCCAGAAGTAAAATTCTGAGCGTCGTACATTACCATGTACACCCCTTTGTGGTCAGACATGCCCGGATCACAGGTACCACATGCCATCATGTCTGGATCAATATTTGTAAGGACATTGTCCAGACAAGATCGCCTAGTTTCCGTAAATCTCGTCATGTCTGTGATACAGTGGCGGAACCCAAATGTGTTTAGCATACATCGTAACTCCTTGGTATCAGAAGTTTCCAGACTTACATCTATATTTATGTCTCCAATTATAATAAAGTTCTTATACCTATTAACAAGCATATGTAACATTGTATCGAGGGATTCAATAAAAACTGTAACATCTCCAGTTGTAGATGACCTATAAGCAGTGACAATTATAGTATTCCCTATAGCTATTCCACAAAGCTCAGCATGAAAAGGTTGAACAAATGCAGTTAGATCAACCTGCTTCGCAAGTATACCATTACGGGTGAGAAACACCCCCATGCTGTCTATTCTGGCGGCAGTATGAGGACGCAAGTGAGAAATTGTTAATTTTAGTTGCAACAAGCTGTTCATACTTTAGCCAGTGTTCTGAGATGCAAAGGAAGTCGTATATTTGGTTCTGTAAGAAGATATTTAGTTCATCTATCTTATTAGCTAGACCTTGGATATTTAAGTGAACAATCGAGTATTTTGCACTACACTGAACAACACTACTTGGAGGCTGATTCTCTGGTGTTGCTGCGGTTGGCTTTATGAAAGAAGCGATTAATTATGGCCCCAGAAGGCCATATGTCTCCTTTGAGAATTGCATCTGCCTCGTACTCAGCTACAATCACCTTAAATGAGGAATAGTGTGTAGGGTGTTTTACACTTAATGGTTCTACCAAAGCTGATGGTGCGTAGTGCTTTATATAGTTGGAAAGCTCAGCAGCACTTGTATTGGGGTCCATTCTAGACAAATGGTAGGTTCTGTTTCGCACTGGTGGGTTAGAAGCTTTAAAGGGACAGCCTGAGTCCGATGCACTGCCAACCAGTAGACTCTTCCTGCGAATCCTCCTGCGCTCGGAGCGTTGCATCTGAAAGTCGTCGTGCTCCTGTGTAGGGGCTTCCTGAGCCTTGTTCTCAACCCTTGCATCATTATCCCAAGCCAGTAGCCAAGTAAAACTGGTGGTACCGCCACTGGTTCAACACTCGAGGTCGACGGTATGGCTGGCTTAGTTGCACGAGCAGTAGATGTAGCTAGTGGTGCGTTCTGTTCTACGTTCCGTACTGAGACGGCAGAGAGTTTGCTGTCAGCTGGAGTAAATTGGACATAACCTGTGCTTGACAGGACTATCGGCTCTATTTTACGGGACGATGCAGAATGCACTGTTGCTGCAGTATACGAATTGGTAGGTGGGACGAACTGTTTGAAGAACAATAACTGATCCTTGAGTGCTGCTATGATGGTATTTTGTTGTTGGATTAAAACATTTTGTTGCTGAATGGTAAAGGATTGTTGTTCGATCAAGACGTCTTTGTTGTTAACTATATGTTGCATAACAGGGAGGTTTCCATCTCCTGGATTAGGTGCGAGGGTGTTATCTGTGTCATTCATGGTGGCAGCAGGTGTGGGACTGTTTAGTTTTGGTGCATGAGGTGCACAACAGATGCAGGTATTGCTATCAATTATCTCAATTGGATGACGATTTTTAATCAAAAGGTCCAAACAACTTTTGTGAGATATCTTTCCACACTTAGAACACTGGACACCTTTAGATTTTACCTTGTTTGAGCATCTAATACATCCGGAGCTAGTATTGTCCTCCATAGCTGTCAGACACAAGGAGTTATATCAGGACGTATAACGTAAACAAACACCACACTGGACGGCTAATTTCAAATCTAGCTGCAATACTGGTATATATTTTCCGGATATAATGCACAACACTCAACAGAGCTATCAACAACACATATCCTGACGAAGGATTCAATATTGAACACTATTTACTGTTATTTACACGTAACAAGACGGAGCACTGGAAAATACGTCTACCGCGAACGGCGCAATGACAAATAATTTTGTTAGGAAATTTCGAAAGATAAAAACTAATTTAAAAATTATTTAAAAAAAATTTATAATAATAATAACAATAATAATAAAATCAAATGAGAGGTATAATATTAATAATCATATATAATATATATAGTTATAAATAATATAATCATAAGAATAATAAATAATAATAAGTTTAATAATAATAATAATTATAATAAGATTAATAATAATCATATCATAAGAATATAATAATAATATATCTAATAATAATAGTTGATAATAATAATAATCACATAATAGATAAGAAGAGTAGAGAAGAAGAGGAGTAGGATGATAAAAGAATAAGAAGGATGGAGAAGAAGAAGAAGAAGGAGAACAAGCAGAAGAAGAAGACTAAGAAGATGAAGAATAGAAGCAGAAGCAGAAGACTAAGAATGAGAAGTTATAATAATACTAATTATTATTATATAATATAGATAGATATATAGAATATAAGAAGAAGAAACGCAATAAATAAAAGAACGATAAATAATAAATAATAATAAGAATAATAATATAATAGTTATAATAATATAGTATTATTATAATAATAATAATAATGAGTTATATAATAATAGTTATAATAATAATAATTATAATAATAATCATAACAATAATAATAATAATATAAGCAAGTATAAAGACCTGGAAATAGAGGTAAGCAGAATGTGGAACGTTAAGACCCGAACAGTTCCAGTCATTGTAGGAGCCCTAGGGACCCTTAGAAAGGGGTTACAGACCAACCTCTCACAACTACCAGGAAAACCATCTGTTGCTGAAGTGCAGAAAATAGCACTACTGGGCACTGCTCACATTATCCGCAAGGTATTAGGGTGAATCGCTTTGATCTCGGGTAGAGATCTGGATTCGCTTAAGACTGTCACAATAGGACAAGAGGAAAACACTAAAATAATAATAATAATTACAATTATAATAATAATAATAATTATAATAATAATAATAATAATTATAATAATAATAATTATTATTATAATATTAATAATAATAATAATTAAAATAATAATAATCATAATAATAATAATAAGAATAATAATTATAATAATCATAATAATAATACCATACCATACCATACCATACCATACCATTTATTGACCACTTATACACATAGATACATGTTTGAGGTCACAAACTAGATAAAGTTTATACAGTCTGTCTTCTTGCTCTACACACGATCACTGATCACTAGGATCACATGCACTTAAATATTCACTTACAGTATAGAAACAGTTTTTTAACAAATAGTTTTTGATGAACCTAGAGAACTGTTTGTTAGACATCTTCTCAATATTGGACCGCTTATGATATCTAACAAAGTTATTGTAAAGCGACACATTAATCTTATTGTTTTGTGTCATGGCGATCCTAGATTGCGGTAATGATATATCATTAGCGTATCTTGTATTATAGCTGTGTGTCTCTGATCTTATCGAAAAAGTACTCAGGTTTGCGTGAACATGTAAAATGGTCTCATGTATGAGCAGGCATGCTAACGGCAGTATGCGCATCTCTTTGAACAAACCGCGGCACGTATGATCGTAGGAGACGCCAGCTACAATCCGTATAGCAGCCTTTTGCATTGTAAATGCTTTTTGGGCCTTGACAGAATTACCCCAGAGGATGATACCATACGACAGATGACTATGAATGAGGCTAAAGTATACAGTTCTCATGGTTTGTCTGTGCAAACACTGAGCCAGTTGCCTCATGATAAACATCTGTCTGGAGATCTTGGTACACACCTGGTCCACATGCTCCGACCAGGTCAAGCGGCTATCCACAACGATCCCTAGTAACTTTACGGATGATGAAGTCTCATTCCATTTGTCGGAAGTTATTCTTAGCGTACTGGTTTTCGCTTCATTAAGTTTGAGCTTGTTTGCGGAGAACCACCGCTTAACCTGGTCGAGACTGTGGGCCTCGTCAAGTTGGGTAGCCTTGGAGAGCAGAGTAGTGTCGTCTGCAAAAAGGTAGCATTTGCTACTGTTGACATTTTGTGGGAGGTCATTGATGTAGATTAAAAATAATAGAGGGCCCAAGACAGAGCCCTGGGGTACCCCGTTCGTAATCGGTAGAACCTGGGATTCTACTCCATCAAGGCTAACCATCTGTCTCCTATTAACTAAGTATGATCTCATAAGCTGGGATGACTTGCCACGGATCCCATAGTGCTCCAATTTGTCAAGCAGTATAACTGCGTCTACACAGTCAAAAGCCTTGGTTAAGTCACATATAGTTGCTAGAGCGGTGGTTCTCTTGTCAATGCACTCTAATGCATCCTCAAGAAAACTAAGCATGGCTTTAATGGTTGAACAGTGCTTCCGAAAACCAAATTGGGAAGCTGAAAGGAGGGAGTGCTTTTCAAAGTACTTTATTAATTTTTCTTTGATTACAATTTCGAATAATTTACTTATTAATGGAATTATTGTGATGGGCCTATAGTTATCAAGATTATCTTCATTCCCTTTCTTATGAATGGGAATGACCTTTGACAATTTAAAAGCATCAGGCCACACGCCTTCATTAACACACTTATTAAATAGTATTGTTAAAGGTTCAATGAAATCCTCACTGGCTATTTTCAACATAGCACTGTTCATACCATAGAAGTCGAGTGAGGGTGAGTCTTTTAGTTGTGCTATAGCACATCTCACATCTGTTTGGAGAATCGCAGACATGAAGAACGAATGCGGTGTCTTGGGAGTACGGTTGAGGAGATACAAGTAATTAATAATAGGCTTTTCAATGCCCTCAAGAATTTTACAAGAAATAGTACTGAAAAAACTATTGAATTCATCACTTGAGACGTTTGTGTGTTTCTGTTTCCTGATGCCTCTCTCGCTATCGACTATCTTCCAGATTGCTTTAGTTTTATTTTCCGCCTGGTGTATCATTTCAGAGTAAAAGTTCCTTTTTTCCAATTTCAATTTTTGACGGTATATGCTACGTATATCCTTATACCTCTCCCAATCACGCTCATCCCCGCTATGCGAAAACTGGCTCTTTGCGTTCACCATATCTTTCCTTAGCTGCTTCAGTGTCTGCGTATACCACTTAACTTTGTGAGCTGACTTATCCACAGCTTTTAACGGAAAACAATTATCGATACAATTTGATATTAAACGGTAGATACTATTTGCCATGTTATCTGCAGAGTTAGAATCTACGTTCATGTCGGACGCCATACTATGGATTCTGTTGGCAAATGAAACCATTCTTTTTTTTGTAATAATGCGTCTTTTGGGCGGTTTGATTGAATGAATCTCATCTTTTAATATAAAAAAATCACAAAAAATTCCTAAGTGGTCGGAAATGTTTAAATCTATTGTCCCTGTCTCAATATTATCGTTGTTCAAGTTGGTCAATATATTATCCAAACAAGACGCCGAAGTAGGTGTAACTCTGGTATTTTCATAAATACATTGACGTAAGCCAAATGAATTTGAAATATTACAAAGGTGTGTCACTGTTTCAACATTACTACTGAAATCTAAATTAAAATCGCCAAGTATCAATAAGTTCTTATGTCTAGAATAAATACTATTCAGTAAACTATTGAAGGCATCAATAAATAATGAAGGATTTCCTAAACAAGGAGATCTATAAACAGTTATAATAGCAATATTGCCAATTGTTGCCCCACAAAATTCAGCATGGAATGGAACACAAACATTCTTTAAATCCAAGGGTTTAATTTGCTGATTCATTAGTAAAAGGATATAAGAGAATATTGGTTTAGGTTTACCATTGCCAAATGATCATCACTAAGCCAATGTTCAGAAATGCATAATACATCTACAGGATTATCATTTAACCACAAATTGAGATCATCAATCTTGCTTGGCAAGCCCTGTACATTGATGTGAAGGGTTCGTAGGCATTGGGCGTTGTTGACCCGCTGAGGTGTTTGATCTCCTTCTAGAGCGAAAAAACCGGTTGATTATTACCCCATCCGGCCATATGTCGCTCTTTAGTATATTGTCCGCTTCGGTAGCTAATAATGTCACCTTGAATGATTTGTAACTTTCTGGATACCTGGCATTCAGCTCCTCGACCTGTACTGATGCAGCAAAGCCCTTCAGGTAATTGGCTAAAGCCTGCATTTCAGTCTTTGTATCCAATTTTGTGACGTGGTACTGGTACTGACGGTTTTGTTGAGCTGAATTTGCTGCTTTCAGGGGGCATGCACTATCACTGGTCAATTTGCCGACTAGTAAGTTTCCAGAACGCCTCCTCCTCTCAGATTTACTTTGAGAGTTAAATGTACTTTGCGTATTAGTACTCGCCTGTCGCACTTCATTTGACAAATTGCTGTTCCCAATCACTTGGGTGTCACTCAACATTTTAGGTGTGTGGTCTCCTTTATTTTCATCTTTGTGTTTAGATCGCTGGCGCTCGAACAGCTGGTTATTTTTTGCTACCGGCGCTGAACTGGAGGAATGTGCGTAACTACTCGTAGTATGCGATTTAAATTCAGTAGTTTTCCCCTGCTTTAGGTAGCGTATCTGCTCTTGCAGCGATTCAACCAGTAATGACTGGTACCGTATCGTTTCGTCCTTCTGTTTAATTAATTCTTCAAGATAGCATACCTTGGTTTTTTCTCCTGATTCAGGGTACCCTGCAGCACCACTCTCTGCTCTAGGACCAATATTTTCCTCAGCGCAGCAGATAAACAAATCGTCGTTGGTGTATTTGACGTCTCTCATCTGCTTAATGCAACCCTTGTGAGCTACACGGCCACATTTGCTGCAGGAAATTCCTGTTGGCGCTATTTTCCTACAGCGTTTGCAGGTTAGGTTACTGTCTTGGTTGGTCAGATTGCTTTCAGACATGGTATGCACGTACAGATTCCAATACTAACAATTACAGGGCACTAGTACACGTTTATGAGACGAATGCACAAATCCACAGAAATTAATTAACTCAAAAAACACTAAACAATTCACTCTGATGTAGGATATACGAATATATGCAGCAATAATAATCATAATAACAATAATATTTATAATAATAATAATAACAATAATAATAATTATAATAATAATAATAATTATAACAATCATAGTAATAATATTTATAATAATAATAATAATTATAATAATAATAATAATACTAATAATAATAATAATAATAACAATAATAATAATAATTATTATTATTATTATAATAATAATAGCTATAACAATAAAGATAATAATAATAATCATAATAATAATAATAATAATAATAATAATAATAAGCGGTCTGGCCGGTAAGGGGACTGCCGCCAGCAGTTTCAAACCCGCTACCGTAACGACGTAGACGGTACAGCCAGCAACGCAACGTCTGGCCTCGACCAAGTGGTTGAGCTACTGTTATTAACACCGAAGGAAAGTCAGTACGGCCAGCACACCTCCTGTTCATCCAGGCGTGGTTTTTGTCTCTCTTCCACGCCTGAGTTTAAACACTTTTAGGTAAACAATTATACCTACCTATCAAAAGAGAACACAATTACCCAGAAATGGAGAAAAAACAAAATGAAGCCTCGGAATGTAACGACGTAATCGGGACTCGACGCTATGCGACGAGGTCCGCGTCCGGCAGGGAGCGTAGGGGAAGGTCGCACCCGGTCGTCATCCAGCGAAAGCCCCCCACAGATAGAGTGAGAAGTAACTCGAATGACCCCATCCAACAGCTTCCTGGGGTCGAAGATGGCAATCATGTTGCTGGAAGCCAAGAGCCCCAGCCCATAATGCCAGACAATAGGAGGAGAAAAAGAACCACGTGGACCACTGAAATGAACAGATTTGTGGTTCGCTCCTACTACAGAATAACTAAACTAGAAACATCTACAGAGCCCTATGGTACTGAACTACACAGACAAGCTATCATGAACTTCCCTCACCTGCAAGGCAAAACTGTGCAAAACGTACTAGACCAGCGCCGATCCGTATTCATAAACAACAGATTGCCGGCAGAGGAGATAAACAAAATAAGAGAAGAGATATCCATAGAATTAGGAATGCAGGTACAAGCTCCGCAAGAGCACACAGAAAACCAAGAACAAATTGAGATAAACGATGGCCAACCATCTAAATACGCAGATGAGTTCAGGGGCTTGTTCATGAAGTATGATGGTGTGGAACCAACTCTTAAACCAAGCCTACCAAAGCTAATAATAAAACCCCATACATCTGAGTATATCGCTGAAGTTAACAAAGTAATAGATAACGAGATTACAGAAGATACAACCTTGACTGAGCTCCATAGCCTGTTGTACATTGGAGCACTTACAGTCCTAAAATTAAATGAACAGAGAGTTGGCGAACAATGTGTAAGGAAAAACAGAAAACTGCCAGCCTGGGAGATGAGGATATCGCGTAATATAGAGGAGATTAGAAAGGACATAGCAATACTCACCCAGTACCGCAGGTCTGACTGTAGTCTGAGAGTAAAGAGATCCGCAGAGAATGTGATAAACCGTCACTGCTCGGAGGAGAACCCAACAGCCGTAGAAGTCTTGGACTACCTGAAGCAAAAACTAGCAGCTACAGCACTGCGACTTCGAAGGTACAAGAAAAGCAACGAACGCCGGAAACAAAATCGAGCATTCGAGACCAATCAGCGAGGCTTTTACAGGAACTTGCAGGCGCGACGGAGGGATACAGATCAGAACAACGTTCATATTCCTACCTCAGATGCCATCAATACCTTCTGGTCAGGAATTTGGAGCAATCCAATCAATCATTCCACATCTAAATGGTACCGCCAAGAGAAAGCAAATAATTCAACTTTTAGGACCATGCTCGACTGGAAAGTAAGCTTAGATGACGTGGTAAATACTCTACGAAAATTACCAAACTGGAAAGCCCCAGGATCAGATAAGCTTCAGAATTATTGGCTAAAAACGTTCACTTCAGCTCACGATCGACTCGCAAAGTGTTACACCTCAATCTTAGAGCAACCAGATATGTTGCCAGAGTTCTTAACAATGGGAATAACATATTTAATCCCAAAGTGCGGCGATCACTCGAACGATCCGGCAAAATACCGACCAATCACCTGTCTGCCGACTATTTACAAGGTATTGACTGCTATAATTACTGAAAAGATATATTCACACCTAGAGCGGAATACTATACTAGACGAAGAGCAAAAAGGTTGCCGAAAAGGGTCTCGAGGCTGTAAAGAGCAACTTGTTATAGACTCTGTCATAACTAATTATGCCAAAAAGAAAAAAATACCCCTGTACATTGCATACATCGATTATCAGAAAGCGTTTGACAGTATACCTCACTCTTGGCTGTTAGAGGTGCTTGACCTTTATGGGATCGAGTGCCACATCAAACAATTTCTGGCACATGCTATGGCGAATTGGAAGACACGGCTCTATCTCAACACCCAAGATACGCAATTCAGTGCCGGAGAGGTATCCATCAAGAGAGGAATATTTCAAGGAGACTCTTTAAGTCCGCTATGGTTCTGCTTAGCGCTTAGACCGTTAACAACAATGCTAAATAGCCAAAAGAAAGGAATACTGTTAGGTGGCAATGAAACACGCATTTCACATCTTTGGTACATGGACGACCTCAAACTTTTTGCAGAAACCAAAGAACATCTTCATAAGCTTCTGGACTGTGTAAGTAAGTTCAGCACTGACATCAAGATGCTGTTTGGCTTAGACAAGTGCAAGATCAGTTGCATGGTAAAAGGCCAGTGGAGTAAACATTCAGGATATGAGCCGAACCAAGTGCAAGTGAAAATTGAAGGAATGCAGCAAGATGAACAGTATAAATACTTAGGCTATCTACAAGCGCCGGGCATAGACCAGAAAGCTGCAAAAGAAAAGGCAATGGAGCACTATAGAACACGTTTGAGGGCGGTGCTGAAAACAAGTCTGTCAGCTCGTAATACAGCACTTGCTGTCAGCACCTACGCCACTTCGGTCCTTACCTATACGTTTGGCATACTGAACTGGACGGATACAGAACTGAACGCACTTAATGTGGAAACCAGAAAAGAATTCCGTAAACACCGGGGACACCACCCACATAGTTCCATAGAGCGGTTCCATCTACCACGAAGTGAGGGTGGCAGAGGAATACCTTGCATACCTACACTACATCACCGCCAAGTGGACAATCTACGTCAGTACTTCCTCCAAAAAGCCACATCCAGCAGAATGCATCAAGCAATAACACAGACGGATAAAAAGTTGACACCACTAAACCTTTCAGAAAAATCTTTCGACCCTGAGGCAAAGATAACCCCAATGCAGGATCTGGTTCGCCAATGGAAAGCCAAACCACTACATGGTCGGTATAGGAGCCGCATAGAAGACAACGCCATTGACACGAAGGCTTCCCAAGGATGGTTGCAGTCAGGTAATCTGTTCCTGGAGACGGAGGGCTTCATAGCCTCCATCCAGGATCAGGTAGTCCCAACAAAGTTGTACCGAAAGCGTATAATGCATGAGAACGTTGACGATATCAGATGCCGCATATGTGGGGAAAAAGATGAGCACATAGATCATATTGTAGCAGGGTGCTCTCCCTTAGCTCCTAAACAATATCTTGAAAGGCACAATGATGTGGCCAAAATACTTTATCAAGCTTTGGCTAAAAAGCATCTAGGAGAAACTGGTACACAGCCCTACTATAAATACACGCCGCCACCTGTGATAGAAACGGAGACCTCTAGGCTGTACTGGAACCGTAAAATCATAACTGACAGGCCCATCCCCAACAATATTCCTGACATAGTGCTCACACTAAAAGAAGAAAGAACGACGTTTATAATAGACATAGCTGTGCCTCTTCCTACTAATATCCAAACCACCCATGCGGAAAAAATCAATAAGTATTTGCCACTCTCCGACGAAATCAAACGCATGTGGGAAATGGGCAATGTGTCTATAATACCAGTTATAATAGGAGCTACTGGAGAGATACCAAGGAAACTACACAAGAGTCTGGAAAAGCTACAGCTCCATCCAAAAATATACTTGCAACTGCAAAAAGCTGCACTGCTGGGAACATGTAGGACAGTACGTAGGGTTTTAGGAGATGAGAACCGGATACGGTGAAAAGACCGCTGCAGATCTATTTCCTTACTTTGGCTAACCGCCTGAGGGAAATATTAATACCTTCGACAGAGGAGTAAAATAGTATAAAGTAATAATAATAATTATAATAATAATAATAATAATAGTTATAATTATTATTCTTATTATTATTATAATAATAATAATTATTATTATTATTATGATTATTATTATTTTAATTATTATTATTATTAATATTATAATAATAATTATTATAATAATATTAATTATAATAATAATAATAATTATTATTATTATTATAATTATTATTATTATTATTTTTTTTTTTTTAAACCCACAGTGGCATCGACAGCTATGGTCATTAGCCACTTCCCTCCTGCCTCATGAGGTCATTAAGTTGAACCTAGCATCTCAGGGATAGATCTGAGAGTTGGATAATATATAGAACGCACACAATCACATACAGTATAAATAATTCATTGCATCATCCCATTTACTTAATTCAAGTATGGAGGTAAAACTGAGTGTTTACCATAGGTTAAATACTACAGCATTGAGTTTGTCCTGTTCCTAGTAAAATATTTGGTGTGCCAGACAGAATTCAGGTAAGTTGTGTTAATAATGCATTCTTATATAGGATTCATTGTTTTCTTGATACACATATACCCACATATACATATTTTTCGAGATATTTATGTTGGAGCTAATATTTTAAGATTTTTATATTGGAAGATTTTTTGTTTAGATTTTGTGAAGCATATTTGTCGATTTCATGAAGTTCAGTAAGTTGTTTATGTTTCTGTCGTTTGAAAAGCATTCTTTCAGGTTTCTTGGTATAAAACATTCTAGGCGCTTAGAGTTAAATTTTGGACATTCCAGGATGATGTGTTCTACGGTAAGAGTGCAGTGGCATTCATCGCATAGTATTGGGCTTCGCCCTAGGAGAAGATGTGATGAAGTTAGGTGAGTATGTCCAATCTTTATTCTTGTAAGACAAACTTGTTCTCGTCTAGTTAGGCCTGTCGGATATTTCCATTTCTCGATTGTAGGTTGTAGTATCCTCAAACGACTTATACTTTGGCTCCACTGATTTTGCCAACGTTGATGTATCTGGAACTTTAAATGGGCTTTTAGGTCTTCAGGAAGTACGGTGCTGACGGGGGTTCCATTTTGGGTCGCGTCACGAGCTGCTGCATCTGCTAGTTCGTTGCCAGGAATATTTACATGCCCTGGAGTCCAAATAAATACGACTGTGTTCGAATTATGCGTTAGTTTATGGCACCGATTAATCACCTGTTGGACGAGGGGATTCTTAGCTTGTTGATTTCGTATAGATTGAAGGGCGGTCATTGAATCTGTACATATTAGGTATGTACTACACCGGGTTGTTTTGTCAAGCAAGTATTTAAGAGCTGCCGAGATGGCATACAATTCGGCTGTATATACGGAAGTAATAGGATTTAGACTATACTTAAAGGTTTCTGTTAGGGTGATGAAAGCTGATCCTACCCCACTTTCATTTTTCGCTCCGTCTGTGTAGATGACTTCAGGTGTATTATATCTACTTATTATTTCATTGAATTTATGTAGATAAACATATCCCGATGTTATGTTTTTTGGATAAATAGCGCAGTCTAGTACAATATTCGTCCTGGTGTCGATCCATGGTGGAGTTTCACTTGGTTTCTTAGTGTATATGTCAGGGATAACAGCGCCAAGGTCGTTTATAATCTCTGATAGTCTGACTCCGAATGGTCTTGTAATAGTAGGTCGGTTGTCGTATTCTTCACTGCTATCATTGTTGAAAATGATATCGTGGTTTGGGTGAGAGGGTTGAGCCATATGTTAATTCCATAGTTAAGCATTAACTGCGATATGCGTAAATCAAGTGGTGGAGTATTCACATCGCAATATATCGAGCTGGATGGACTAGTGCGAAACGCACCTAAGCACAGTCTTAATCCTTCACGATGGATGACTTCTAGGGTACGTATATGCGATCTTCTGGCAGCGGCAAAAGCTACAATACCATATTCCATTTTTGACATTACCAGCGATTTGTATAGCGTCAGTAGGACATCTCTGTCCGCGCCCCATTTTATGCTGGAGACGCATTTTATTACGTTAAGGGCTTTCTTGCATCTAACAGCTAATGACTCGATTTGTGGTTTCCACATCAGTTTACGATCAAAGATTACTCCTAGGATCCGGTGAGTTTCTTTGACTTGGATTAAGTTTCCTTCCAAGGTTAATGCAGGTTCCCTATGTGCTGTTCTTAGCCGACAAAATGGATTACTGTAGTTTTTGATCTAGAAAAGTTAAGACCATTTCTTTTAGCAGTTTCAACCAGGTTGTCGATGGTCTCTTGAAGTTTACTTTCCATCGTGACCATTTCTTTTGCCGAGTAATATATGGTTAAATCATCCACATACATACATTTTCCAATGGATTCATCGATGCACTGGAGTAAGTTGTTGGCAATTATTACAAACAAGATTACGCTGAGGGTGGAGCCCTGAGGTATTCCGTTTTCTTGGAGGTACGTATGAGATACTTTGTCCCCCAGCCTTACCTTGAACGACCGGCTTGCAAGGAAGCTTGCAATGAATGTGGGCAACCGTCCCCGAATTCCCCATTGATGGAGAGTAGATAGGACTCCATATCCCCAGGCGGTATCGTATGCCTTTTCTAGGTCAAAAGAGATAGCAATCAGATGGCTCCTGTTGGCAAAACTGTTCTGTATGGCTGTTTCCAAGTGGATAAGGTGGTCTACGGATGATCTGTGCTGCCTGAAACCTGTCTGAGAATTTATTAGCAGGTTTCGTGTCTCCAGTAACCACATTAATCTTCGACTTCTCATTTTTTCTAGGATTTTGCTCAGACAACAGGTCAGGGATATTGGTCTGTAGCTCTCAGGCTTTGTTGAATCTTTGTCTGCTTTAGGAATAGGTATCACTATTGATTCTCTCCACTGATCTGGGTAAGTACCAGTTTGCCATATTTTATTAAACATTTCTAATATTGCTTGTTTTTCTGTTACAGGTAGGTTGCGTATCATGCAATAGTGGACGGAGTCCGGGCCAGCGGAAGAGTCGTTAGTCTCTTGAAGAGCATTTTCGAATTCGGTAAGAGTGAAATTGTTGTTATATTCCGATATGTTAGATTCACTAAAGTCAAGTGCATTGCTTTCAATTTCTAGCTTCCTTTGATAGGCCCCAAGGCTTAGGTTGTCGTTGGAACATATCTCTTCAAAGTGCATGCCTAGCGTGTTGGCTATCTCTGTAGCGCCCGTAACTTCTCTTCCTCCTACTCGTAACCTGGGGAAGGTGTGGCGAAGTGTTTGCCGGATATGGTTCTAATTTTCTTCCATACATCTGAGCTTGGGGTCTCTGAAGTGATGTCAGATACATATTTTTGCCAAGAATTTCTTTGGCCTGCTAACATCAATCTCCGTGCTCTAGCTCTGGCTTGTTTGAATTTCATCATATTTGCCAGAGTTGGGTTCTTTTGAAGACATTGTAGTTATGCTTTTTGCCTTTAATGGCTTCTTCAATTTGTTGATCCCACCAGGGTACTATAGGTTTACCAGGTTGTATGTTTGCTTTAGGGATGCTTTCGGAAGCAGCATTCAATATACTGTTCAGTAACGTTTGCTGACGGTTTCAGATATTGAATCACCTATTCGCATTGGAGTCAAATGTTCTCGAAATTTCTCCCAATTTGCCTTTTTAACATTCCACCTTTCTGCAAGTGGAACACTTGTATTTTGTACGGCACAGTTAAGTAGTATTGGGAGATGGTCAGATGAGTGATCATCTAAAACTTCCCAATCAAAGAGATATGATACACTTGGGCTACAAAGTGCCAAGTCTATCGCACTGTAGTTGCACGACCTAGAGTTAAGAAATGTTCCTTCGCCTTTATTCAGCACCATTAAATTTGCTTCGTTAATTATATCTTCCACTATCCTCCCTTGGTGTCCAGTTTTTGTGAGCCCCAAAGAGGGTTATGCGAGTTAAAATCTCCTACTAAGAGAAAGGGTTTTGGGAAAGCTGTTCACATATGCTTTTCAATTTATTATATTCCCAGTTTTGATTGGGTAGGTATATGTTGCATATGGTCAATTTTATAGGTACTATTAGTTGAACAGCAACAACCTGAAGCTCGGATGTGATGTTGACCTCTGTAAAGGGGATATTTACATCCAGAAATATTGCCACGCCGCCCTTGGCACGGATTTGCGGCGTATCATCCTTTCTTACACATTTGAACCCACGTAGCTGAAATTTCGTGGTTGGAGAGAAATGGGTCTCTTGAAGACAGAGACAAAAGGGCTTTTTCTCCTGCATGAGTAGTTTCAGTTCTGGATAGTGATTAACACACCCATTAATATTCCACTGGACGATGGATTGCATGAGTAGAGTAGATTTATTTTATACATGCAAGGTTCAGGAGAAGATTAAGGATATTTACATATGTATATAGATGATGAGAGATAAATAAGCAAATAGGTGAGGGACTAAATAAATAAATAAATATATATAAATAGACAAATAAATAAGTAAATAAATTAATGAATAAACAAGTAAATAAATTGAAAAGTACATTATAAGTTTATCAAAATATCACAGTTAATTTTATCACAGAAGTATCACAGTCTCCGACAACTGCTCAGTTTCGGAGTTCTGTTGATTGGGACGCTCTGTATCATCACTCTGAACGGGTTGTTCCGACTGAAACAGTGCGGTTTTATTTGTTTTACGAGGTCTGCCTTTTTTCCAGCCTCGTGTACCCTTTTTTGCTTCTGGATCGTCAGTCTGAGACGAGGTGAGACTTTCATCAGAAAGTTCCGATCCATCTACAGGAGATGTAGCTTTTCTTTTAGACGAGTTAGAAGCATCTGATTGACTTCTAGTTCTAGACGCAATCCCATGACTTATCTTTGGCAATGGAGCGACAAATTGCTGGGGTGTGCTGCTGCATACTGCTTTGTTTTCTATGGCTTGCGAGATCGACGTTCT